ATCGAACGTCAGTACTGAATCTTAACCTCACTCTTTAGTAAACTTAAATTCAAAGTTTCACAACAATACGTGCAGTGAAAAACCAACAATACTTTACACTTTCACATCTATTTTCCTCAGTACTTATATAGTTTATGTTATACTCTTATAATTTCGAGCATCCTTTTGTGCAAAGCACCAAAGAAACGGCGCATAAAGCAGTATTCTATTCAAGATTAGTACCGCTAAAAATGCAACTTTGAAGATCTATAAAATAGCAAGCCGAGGGTTCCTTAAAGAAAAAATGATACTTTCATGAAAGCTACGTCCTAATCTTTCATTTAAAAATGAGAAATGAAGTATTTGTGATATGCCCTAAAGTATACTCTTACCTGCACCTGACTTTTATTCTGACTACATACTGAGATTTTGGAGACCAGCAAACTGTATCCCAGTTCTTATTTGACAGCCATCGTGGCAATATAGTATACAGCGTGTCCAAGATAAGAATCCTATGCATGAGGATCCCAATATCTATGGGCGATACGGGCCATCTAGGCCGCGCGGATCGAACGTCAGTACTGAATCTTAACCTCACTCTTTAGTAAACTTAAATTCAAAGTTTCACAACAATACGTACAGTGTTCTAACTACAGTGAATTTTTAAGGGTCACCAAAAATGGAACTCAACCGAGAACATTTTCGCGCCATAATTTATTACAACTTTCAGAGACAATTATCGCAACAAGAATGCCTTGCTGAGTTACTGTCTGTTTTCGGCAACGAAGCGCCACATCATTCCATAATTTCCCGTTGGTATGGAGAATTTAAACGTGGACGGGTGAGTCTTAAGGGGTGTTGACATTATGCTTGTTGGCTGGTACTATCAAACTAGCGCTAGTTCGCTGGTACTGCTTGTCCTGCTCCAGATCAATTTTCATTTTTATTACAATGCGTCACTCCGAGTATACGAAAACAAGATACTTCGTTCAGGGAAGCGTTGACTCCGGAACTGAAACTTCAAATTACATTACGCTACGTAGCATCTGGAGACTCTTTTAGCACACTAGAACATATGTTCAGGGTTCCAAAAAGTACAATTTCAAAATTTGCTATGGTGGATAGTAATTACGAATTCTTATACATCGATGTCGGTTCCAACGGAAGAATGAATGATGCTAGCATTTTCGGGGCATCACGTTTGAAAACCGCACTGGAAAGTAATACGTTGCGTTTCCCAGATTGGGGAGTTCTTGTCGGAGATGACGCGTTCCCTCTGAAAACCTACTTAATGAAGCCGTATTCAAGGAATGGTATGACCTAAAAAGAAAAAATATTCAACTATCGTCTTTTGAGAGCTCGACGAATATCCGAAAATGCTTTTGGGATTCTTGTATCTAGATTTAGAATATTTTTACGTGGTATAGAAGTATCCCCGGATAAGGTAGATTATATAGTAAGAACAACACGTGCTTTACATAACTGGTTACGAAGAACATCAGCAAATACTTACATACCACCAGGAACAACCGATTACGAAGATATTGATACTGGTAATATAATACCTGGATCATGGAGGAAAGACGTAGCAAATAATCAAGTGCTTCAGCCAGGTCATTCTTGGGGCTCCCACAATTATTCTAAAGGAGAAGCTACCCGACGGGACAACTATGCGGAATATTTTATGAATGATGGGGCTGTTGACTGGCAATGGAATATGATTTAAGAAACAGCGTAAAATTATTGTTATTCGTGATGTAAAATTTCCGACAGGACAAAGCTGTACATAAACATAATAATCATGAAATAATAAAGCTATTCAATGAGGTTATCAAAAGTGTATTGAATCAGTGTTCATACATATTTTGAAAACATAATTATGTATTACTTAGTATTTACAATAAATAACAACAAATAAAAATGAACAAAACCGTTTTCCTTTGTTTGTCTAATATGCAGAGGAAAATGTTAGTCAAAGATTCGTTATATCAATTTAGAACTCTGCCTTTTCAAACAAATCGCCAATTGCTGCAGACAAAATATCAGTATTTTGAACTTCGCTATATCCTTCCAAATCATTATAATCTGATTGTTGTGGTTCCGACATCGATGTATGAGAATTCATGTGTATTAATCTTCGTGGAGAATACTTCGAAAAACAATAAAGTCATTTAAAACTACCTACCGTGTTGTTTTATTTCCATATGCAAAACTTAAAAGACATCCTTCGTATATGGTAGATAGAAGATAACATCGCATCATTACACCCATCTGCTGTCAGGTCAATCGATAAATCAAAATAATAAGATCGCGAAGAAAATACACTTCGTGACGCAGAATCGATAATTGGGATTCAGATTAAAAACAAGACGTTTGTTCCGTTTCAGTTTATTTTTATATGAAATGCGTCATATCTTGCATACAGAAATAACTTGGACAAACAGGTTGGTAAACAATAAGTACGAGGAACCCACCTCTTGAAAAACAAAAATGTTTGTTTAAATATGCGAACTCGATACGTCGAGCTTCTGAAAATTAATTTTAGTAATTAAATTCGACAAATTGGAAATGGGTTATCAGATGCAACATTCGTTTTTATCAAATTATTGTCACCGTTTATGTCACCAGTTATTTAAATTGTACGGACACTGAGTTACAGCCCAGGAGCTGTCGTTGTATCTGTTCGATTTTAGCATAATCCTACCCTTTTCACGAATTGGCATCTTACCAAAGTTACGTCTAAAATCGATTAAACAATTTTTTATAAACAAAAAAAGTTCCTATCAACTTTTCTGTAAAGTTGATTATTCTCTAGATATAAAGGATTTGATACTTGAAAAAGTGCAATTTGCGGCATCTTCAACCCCGATAAGCAATATGAAGAAATTGAAACGTTAATGCTGCGAAAACTCATAAGTATCATTCAAACTTGTATTAACCAAACCTCAAAGCATTATAGCGAATATTTTTATTGTAAGAAATTGTTTTTAGTTGAAAAAGAAATGTTAAATAATTTTTTACGCTACTTTTGGCCTGGCAAAACTTCTTGGATAAGAAAAACCGAATCAGAATATTTCTTCAAGCGCATCCAATAAAATATTTCTGAACATTCAAGCAGATGAACAAAGCATTCATAAAAAGTATTTAAAAAAATATTTGATATGTGATTGTCTTGAATTTATGATGTGACTTGACCTAGGAATAACCTCAAGTTTCCAACTGAACTGACAGATTTGGAACTACAAGGCGCAAGCTCATAATTGGTATTCAAAGAATCCACTGTGGTCATCGCAGGTTCTCCAAAATACCAAACAAAATGAATAAACGTTACTAAAAATGAAGTACAGTAACAATAAGTAAATGTTAAGGTCGCTGACACATATAGACCTATTTGAGATTTGTGCACATATGTTGAATTTGTTCTAGGTGTATTCCAAATATAGATTTTTCCCGACTTTGGTACTTTGTTATGCATCAGGTGTTTCAAATTCAATCCTCACCATTGGGAAATCGGAAACGGTAGGAGATACGTAGTCGCTCAATTGGGAGCAAAGTTGTGGATTTTTTTACCTGTAATTAATTCCTGGCTTTATTTGTAATCATATTTCAAAATAAATGGCATAATTGAAATTTCGATATGACGTTTCGTTTCCTGTCCTCCGGCAATAACTTTTATCCTTAAGAACGCCATATGAGATTTTTACACAGCTGAATAGGGTTTTCTGATTCCAAACATATATGACGTATACACTGACATTGCCTAACCTTCATTTTGTTGCATGAAAATTATACAGAAATAAGAATGTATGGTACAACGTGAACACAAAAGGAACATTTTACTAATGGTAATAACAGTAATAATCATAAATAAGCAGAGGTAAATTTATTATTTTGACTCTTCTCTATAAAACTCACTGCTCGATTTATTTCCCTCTTTCTCGGTCCGCCAAAGTTTGTCACTATATATATACAGGTATATATAATTTGAGGTCTGATCAGTGATGCCACCGGCCAGTAAAGGAATTATGGTACGATGTTGCCAGAATTATAAATTTTTCTTCAAAATTATGTTACAAATAGTGTTCCTTTAAGACAAAAAATACACATAATTAATATAGGTTCTTTAATGTAAAAATCTCATAAAAAATGGAACATTTGGGAAAATCAAACAAACTCTCGAAAAATACCTAACTCGAAAACATAAAAGACATTATTCAGGTTCAAAATGAATATCAACAGTTTCATTTTCATCTTGAGCGACATGTTTATAGGACGTTATTCTATTAATCATATTTTGAGTAACGTTAAACTTATAACATTCACGATTTACAGTTTGAGATGCCAATAAAAGTGAATTTACTGTATCACTGTACAAGCGATTTCGGACATCTGTTTTGATTAAATTTACTTTTGAAAACATTCTTTCGCATGCGGCATTTGAATGAGGAATTACTAATAAATCTAATACAAAATTTCCCAATTCTTTAAATACGTAAACATCAGACATGTCGTGAATTTGGGAGATTTTGTACCAGTATTTATCGATTGATGTTTCATCCTTTATTTCATCACTCAAATTTGGTTCTGACTGGCAATACATCCGCCACTGATCATAAATTTTTTTGTATTTGTTCAATATCTTGAGGATCTACAATTGTGGGTAGTAACTTAATTAATGAAAAAAGCGATGCTGGTTTTGGTTTAGAATACCCTTTTTCAAATACTGATATTTTTGACAAAAGATTTTCATTAAAATCAAACCGTTTTTTCATTTCATTTGCAGAAGTTATTAAAAATTGACGGCGCCGCATGTAAAAATCTTCTTTTTCCTTTCGACTTAATTTATCAATGTTCTGAAGCACGCGAACACCAAGGTATATCTGTTTCAAGACAATGAACTGACTAGCATTGTGGGGATCGATTTTACCTATTTCGGTTTTATGAATATAATTTGGTTGTAAATAGCTTAAACAAATTTCTTTATAAGTTTCACAAACTACATCATAATGCAATTATGAAACGCTCACTTTAAAAGTATTCATTTAATTTTACAAATTTTGGTAAAATCCAATGAAGAAAAAAGAAAAAAGTTTTGTTTCCATATCATTAAGTCTATTGGCAACAACTTCTGAAGCTTGCAGTCTATGTTCGGTCCTTTCTTTAACAAAATATAATTGAAGGGGATTCCATTGCTCAGTTATCCTTTCCACTACCATAAGTAATGAAAGCCACCTAGCTTGTGAAGGACGTAAAATTTTGTGAGGCTCCACATTACAAAATGTCTGAAATTCTGTAAATTGTGCTTGCCATTTGGAGCTATTTTTAAAGTAACCAAAAATATTCCTGGCTAAATCTTCACAATGACGGGGCAAAACTTTACAAGCCTCACTGGCACAAAGATGTAAAGAGTGGCAGATGCATTTTTGAACTATAATGCCAGGAAGATTTAGTTTTAACCTACTTACTACTGAGTTATTGGCACCAAACATAGTGTTACAACCATCAGAACCAAATCCTATAATATTTTGGAGAGGTATATTGTTAGACTCAAATAAATCCATAATTTTTTTATAAAGAACTTCTGCAGTCGCCCCTGTATTTGCTTCATCTGGATTTTGATTTGAAAAACATTGAATTTTGTAGTTACCTCATTTGTTTTTTCACTAAAGTACCTAACACATACACATATATTTTTTACTACACCTATGTCTGTAGATTCATCTACTAAAATACTAAACTTTTTTGCTTTTAGTTCTTCGATTAGTTCTTCAAAATGAGATTTGGCTAAAACATGTTTTATAACACCTGTTGCTTTGGTTCTTCCCATCTGCATTCCTTGGGCAATTTTCGAGTCAAGAAATATGTCTTTTAATAAAGGAATCAGATGATCGCACAGCTTGATGGGTAGATTATGCTCTGATATTAATGCAGCAATTTTTATTTCTGCCCTACTCACTTGACCACTAGCTTCGTTTTTATTAGAAAACATAGTAGAAATTTTTGGTTGATTTTTCACAATCACCTTTACATTTTTTAAATGTTAGCTCCCTTACTGTGATTTTTCAATACAGTTAAATCTGCTTGAATTTCACTATCACATTTTGCTCGAGTGGGTTTTTCTAAAAACAAAAATGCATATCATTAAAAGTATAAAATGGTTTTATGTTATTTTTTCTACCTTTAACAGCTTTCAACCATCCTTTGAAATGAGGATTGCTTTCCCATTCACATCTATATTTTTGTGGTCTATTTTCTCGTCTGTTTACGTTTTTAAACTTCAATCTTTTTGCCTCCCTTTCTGAATCCGAAGAATCGGAGTAATCATGATGATCCCCTTTGCTGGTACTGGCCATTTTATTTCACTATTTGATCACATCAACACACGTTAATCAGGACTCATGCGATCAACTACTCTTGCTCGTATTGAAAGAGAAACAATGAGGATTAGAGTATTCCCCTGCGTAGGCTCAAATTCACCGAGACTCGAGTTCCGTAATATTTACATAGATGGCGGTAGGCTTGATTTTTATTCTAATTCCATAATAACCATGCTATTAACTGAAAGAGGTCAGCACTAATAATTATTATCCTTTTTGTTACGTTGCTTTGGTTGCATACAATTAGAACCAATAATTTTTAAAACAAAGTTATAGGCTGGGAGATGGAAAAATAATATGTTACAGTTATCGATTATGTTAGATCTTTTTATTTACTGTATATTTCAGTAGAAAATATGGTACAATTTGATAATTATGTTACAAGTGGCAACACTGGGTCTGATCTAGTATACAAACCAAATGACTATCTGACAATTTCAAGGCCTACTTAGGAAATTCTGTTTTTCTGAAGTAACTTAGGTTTAGCGATGTCAACGTATCACATACTCGTGTTATACATTTTTGGAATCAGAATTATAAACCCGAATTTGAAACACCCGGCATAGTTCAAATACATTGATTGCTATTATTAAATACTTCCAGAGTTTCGACAATTACTTTGATACTTCGTACTAATTCGAGAGTGGAACTATCCTTCCTGGACACATACTTTCGAAAATTTTCACGTGTGTCTGGCGCTGCAATTACATGTAGACATTTTTTTTTAAATTTTGGGTATTTGAACAATTTTTTCTTTGCAGCTGGCCGGATTAGCGCTGGTGATAGTTGGCATCCTAGTGAAGTTCAACATCAACGAAGCAAGTAGCATACTCCCAGCAGACTTCAGCATAGCACCGCTACTCTCCATCATTATTGGTGCTATTGTTTTCATCACGGCCTTCTTGGGATGTTGCGGAGCAGTCAAGGAGAGCACATGCATGCTTACCACGGTAAGATTTATCGCCAGTCTTATAACTCAAACTATTACCGGAGATGATAATAATCAAAGAATAGACGATTTTTATGTTGTGTGATTGATTACTTACACCAAAAACACTGTAATGAGCAGCACTCATATAGACACGAGCATGACACACGATTTTAAACAGGCTCATCAAATGTCCAGAGACCACACAAAACATTATTCAAAAGGTCATTAAATATTTTTATTTAGATACTTTAGAAGGCGACGTGGTGAAAGACGTGACCGACAGAGAGCGTCACGTTCACCACACCGTGAGAGTTATGGTATGGGGTGCTATTGCTTATGGTAGCAGCTCACCACTAATTTTCAACAGAGGCCTCATCTTATTCCATACCTAAGCACCATCCTGACCTATCTCCAATTGAACATGACTGGGACGTAATAGGTCGCAGGCTCTTGAATTTGCATTACCCTCCAAAGACTTTAGCAGCTTTTAGTCATAAATATGCAGTAGCCTGGAATGAGATACCCCACAAGGTTTCGACCACCGTATCTGGACGATGCCCAGGCTTGTCAGTGAATTGATGAATCAAGCTGAACATTTAATCATTTACCGCTGCGTACCGATGATTCATATGATAGTATTGTGCGTATGTTTGGAGAAGCGGCTGTTTACCTCTATCAAAAAATCACTAGCTGCTTGTTCTATTTCTTATATTTCATGATTATCATGATTTACTATTACTTTTTACTATTTTATTACTCCACGTAAAGATTAACCAGGGATACTAATTATACGCAGATAATCACAAAAACTGCAAAAATGGAGTTACGATCGTTTACCTCTAAGGCACAGAATTATAGTTGTTATACTATACACCTTAGGAAAAACCATTGTTATACATGGGAAATCATTTCTTGGCAACAGCGCATCGGCTCGTCTACTTTCATCGCTATTCGTACATATTTCCTACCGTTAACGCGCGTGCCGTCGTCAAGTGCGATAAGGGATTCATGACTCACTCTGCGGTTGGGCTTTGTGTAGGAAAGCTGCGTCTTTATTTAATCCAAAATATCGCAAGAAGAAAAGTTTCAAATGATAGAATGGTACATCCAGAATAAATCAGCACGCGCGGTTGTTGAATTATTTGCGGTACGCTTCCCAGTTCGGCCAATTCCGTCTCACGCAACGGTTATAAATACCTACGAAAAATTCAAGAGGGTGGGCTGCTTACATAAGTGCCATAGCTGCATGCACCCTGAAGGTTGGAAACCAAAAATTAGCGAGAAAAGGGAGGAGATCGAAACTGCTGTTTCTGCCGCTGCAGAAGTATCTGAGCCATGCTCAAGCAGAAAAATTGCTGAAATGGTACCAATAGCCGATCTCACACCCAGAACAACAAGAAATATTTTGCATCGCAACGGCTATCATAGCTTCAAGGTTGGAACGGTTTAAGAAATATTTCCTTTAGACAAATACCGTCGAATGGAGTTTTGTGAAACGGTCATGGAGAAGGCGAACAGGGATGGAAGTTTTATTGGTAATATTTTGTTTACTGATGAATCCACATTCCCTCTCCACGGTCATCACAATCCTTCAGTCGTTCGGTATTGGTCTCGGGAAAATAAACACCTCAGTATTCCCGTCCGCACGCAGTATCCACAGAAACTGAATGTGTAGGCAGGAATTCTAGGTAATAACATTATCGGACCGTTCTTTATTGATGGAACTCTTACGGCTGCAAAACATTTGGCGTTACTACAGACGCAGATTGTTCCTGCAATTAGGCAGCTTGGCATTGATCTCGCTAATATTTGGTTCCAACAAGATGGATGCCCGGCGCATAATGCGGCGATCGTACACACTTACCTTGAAAGTGTGTTCGGCCACCGGATTATTGGCGGTAACGGAACAATAAAATGGCCTCCTAGATCATCCGATCTAGCGCTTAATGATTTTTTCTTGTGGGGTTATGTGAAAAGTACTGTTTACACTTTCAATGAGAGAGCAGACAATTTGCATAACCTACAGGTGAAAATCGTTGAAGCGCTCGGGCAAATACAGCCTTCTACCCTCTTGAGAGTTCGTCAGGAGTTTTATAACCGCCTGACATACTGTTCATTGAATGAAGGAGACGTCTTTGAGCCCCAGCTGTGAAGGACCATTTGAAACATTTGTGTTCATTATTGCGTTTTATTTTTGAGAACTTATTTTTTTGTTAGAATATCTTTTTATTTTCGTTACACATTTTTAAGAGTGTACTATTTTTTGTTAGAGTGGGTATCTTCTTATTTTTGTTATGAGACGCAACCTTTATTGCTACAAAACCAATTATCCATTCATAAAAATAAGTAGAGTGATTTAGGTGATTTCGTGAAATCTCGAAATCACCGAAATCGGACGTCCAATCGAACTGGTGCGTAATGCGCGCATCTACTGTACTTCTTCTATCGACTCAACGCATACTGAAATTTGCAGCAGACCGCAGACCTGTATCACGAATGAGAATAACAGGCAGATATACTGTGTTGGCAATTTGAGTAGAGCTTCCCGAATTGTGGGGAATTTAGAGTTAAGTGTTGATTCATTCAAGCTTTTAATCAGCATGGCCTAGACGTTAGAACTTCATAAAGATAACATTGAAGCTGAATGCTGCTGGAATATAGTGTTTCGAATATTCAAAGCGGAGCGGGACACTATCCTCGTTCAATGGGTCATCAAGCCACAGTCTTTTCAACAAAGAAATTATTTTACGAAAATGCGTTATATTTTTACGATTTTGTCGTCACCAAATCTCTGTTTCTCAAAATGTACGTCTATTGTAGAATTTTCAACAAACTAAGCAAGAAACGTGATCTAGTATTTACTCAACATTACGGATTTCTCGAAATACATTAAAAAATGTGACCTAGATACCTAACTGCCCCAAGCTCTTTAAATATAACACCTTAAACCAGTGTTACCAGGTGCTCAGTCACGTTGATTGTCATGTTGTACTGCGCAAGTCAGCAAACAATCTGGCGTAATAAACGTTAGGAATCATCAGGTATTGCCAGATTCCCGAATACCGGGCACCATAGTACCCGTTATAGTTGTCCTTCAAAGTTGTCAAATCGCCCCTATGGCGCAAATTTGCCACTCCAGGCAACTGTGCTATAAACAAACCCTGTTTATCACTACTATTTGATAGTCATATGGTAGTTGTAGCCCTTTCTAGCGGTCCATGATTTCTCTCAATACTGTTGTATCTCTACTGGCAACAAGGATAGGGATTACAAAATCATTTATACAACAATGTACAAACATGAAAAATATGATTTGAACCATGAAACATTAATACAATTTTAGAACTTTTTTCATTTTTGGAATACTCTTATGTGGAATGCGCAGCTATTTTTCCCGAAATTTGGGTAGACTTAGATTTCCTAGAAATATGACATATTGGTATCGGCAACTCTGCGTAGATTTCCTAGAAATATGACATATTGGTATCGGCAACTCAGCGAATGGGAGAAACAAATCGCATTTGTTGAGCGCATCCGTCTAAGCAGCAGGCGCCAGCGCCCGTTCTGCCATCTCTCTTTTATCACTCTTCTACTTTACTCCGTTGTCCGTCACACTCCGACGCTGCCAGATAGGATCCTACAATCGAGTGTCTTTCACGCACCTACATACTTTTGTATATTTCCATCTCTCTTCCTCATCATAATGTATAATAATGTTTTTTCACAAGGTCTATATGATTTTTTAGTAAGGAATTATATAATCCTCACACAGGTGATGCCTTCTGTGTAGTTGCCATATCTATTTCCCCATTTTTTGAACATCTTTGTAATTTGGGTAAAACAGTATTATTATCTACATGGGCTTTTTTCATCCTCGTCCTTGGCCACTCTTGAGAACCGAGCTGGACATTTAGATATTTCGCACCATCTCTTGTAGAATTTTGGGGATTCTTAGCATCTGCAGACCCCCCCCCCCACCCCCCACTGAAAAGAACTGCTATCCTCGACACTTCAAAGGGTTTCTGGGTCAGAGGCACATTAACATATGTCGCCGTTGATCGGCACCCCTGGGTAAACACTCTTGTCGGCACTCATGGTTCCTTTGACCATTTATCAAAGAAGCGTGCTGATTGATTATTGATTATATCTATATTGAATTAAGTTTCACTAAAAACGTATCCGATAAGTAGTCAAACCTTCCTATTAGCGTGTGCCTATTCCACGTTTTCTTAAATAATAGTTCTACTAATCTTAGAGAGTTTAAAAAGCCGACTTAAGCTCCTCATGGCAGCCGCGGTGGTATTTAGGCTTATGTCTTCGCAGCGGTTTCAACTTGGAAGTTTTAAAATGCAAAATTTCGATTTTAGTTTCAAATTGTTACAAAAAAACGAGAGTTAGTATCCTGAGGTAGTTTGGGGCTGTGATTTCGCATATAGCCAACAAAAATCGATAAAACGTCGCAGAGCCTTATTTGGACCATAAAAACGCTCGTGGAACCTTCCTTGGATCTCAACGAGAACTGACATCAAGTTCATAACTAGTGGACCCGATTTACCCAGGAAACGGGTATTGATCGAAATTGCAGAAACGCAATAATTTTGGGAAACTTCTGGACTTTTATTGTAAGAATAGAGCACCACTTTTTGAATCACTCTGTATAAATCGTATTCGCCCAGCATACAGTTTTGCTTCATACACGCGTTTCATAACGATAGCGTATCATGCTAAGCCTACTTAGTATGCACAAAGCATAATGCACGAAACAACTGCACCGTGTAGCTTCTAGATAACACAAAAGCAGATATTATTTAGTTGCTTAAAGTGTGACCGTGGTTGAATTCAGTAAGTCACTGAACTCAACCACTGTACTTACTGTACTGTTTATGCGATTTTATGAAGCCTGAAGACTCAAGAATGAACGCAATTTCAAAAGCAAACGGAAGCACATAATTGTAATTATGCTTATGAGAAACGATCTGTTATCTCTACAAAAATTATTTGAACTGATGTGGAGAATAAAGGAAATCTCACATCCAAATGTTTTTCAGCAAACACTTGCTAGTCCAACAAACTATAAAAAGAAAAAGAATAAAATACTTTAGGCAATAATAAACGAATCACCAGTCACCACGTCGTCAGTAAGCAGCCATGCGTGTTACAACAGTTCCGGAACGGCTCTGTATTTTCTCGGGTTAGGTATTTTTCTGAAAGACCAAGGTAAAATCTTCAGTAACTTCCAACAAGTAATTCAAACGACGACCTCGAATTTTACCTTTACCTTCACCTTCAAGCTTAAGAGCGGAACATTTTACGTTCAAGCATAATTGAAGTCTAAGGCCAAGGGTGACCCTTAAAGGTCAAATGAAGATCAAATGCTTTCTGCTAGGAAAACGCCTACGTGTCTTATAGGATACGTGATGAAAATAACTATCAAGGTCAGGTCTTTGTTGAATTTTAACGAGGAAGTGAACAGTGACCTTGGAATTGATTTTAAAGGTTATTGCAAGGTCAACTATCTTTGATGCCGACAATACAAAGAGCCAAATATTGTACTAAAGGTCATACGAGGATTAAATGTGTTCAGCTAGGAAAACCTCTATAAATCTTACAGGATTAGTTATGTAAATAACTATCAAAGTCAGGTTTTGATACATTTTCACTAGAGAGTGAACGGTGATCTTGGATTTTTTTACCTTGATCCTCACCTTGAAAGTAATTTCAAGGTCAACTTAACTTTTTCATGAAAATCCCCGTTGTTGACGCCAGCAATCGAAAGACCGCAAAATTTTACGCTCAAATACGAATTGAAGCCAAGGTCATGATGACTACCAAATGTCAAATGAAGCTAAAATGTGTGCTGCAGGAAAAACCACTACAAATCTTACAGAATTAGTGATGAAAATGACTATGAACTTGATCATCATCTTCAAGTTCATTTCAAGGTCATCTCAATTTTTTATATAAATCCCTATTTTTGATGCATGCAGTCGAAAGATAGGAAAATCCTGCGGTCAGATACGAATTGAAATCCAAGAAATCCAAGGTCACGGTGACCACAAAAAGTCAAATAAAGGTCAAATGTGTGCTTCTTGGAAAACCGCTATAAATATCAGCGGATTAGTGATGAAAATAACTGTCAATGTCAGGTTTCAGGCTTGACCTTGAACCTTACTTTCAGGTTCATTTCAAGGTCAACTTAATTGTTTTAGTGGAAACCCCTTTTTCTGATTTTCAACTCTTGCAGCCCTTATTGGCATCAGAATCGGAGTTTCTACTTGAACAATTGAAGTTTACCGTCGAGGTCGAGGTCAAATTAAAGGTCACTGTTGAACTCCATGCTAAAAGTTACTAAAGTCCTGACCTTGATCTTTTCCAAAAATATATTACCCGAGAAAATACAGATCCGTTCCGGGACTTTTGTGTCTCACTGTATATTCGAACGGCTAGTGGAATAAGAAAAATATGATATGACAGTAGCAATACCTGCTTTGACCAAGCCAAGTATACTAATGACCTATAAATCCGAACACCCAGTTTAAATGGTTTTATTTTAATAAAAGTTGGTGAATGTATTTATCCTACTATAAATAACAAGTGAAAAAATTTTCAGCCTTATCAGTTGGACATTCCGGTTTTTATACTGCTTTTTTTTAATTCAATAACGCTCTAAAAATGAATATTTCAGCCGCAGTACAGAATCAACGTTGGCGGATTTTGGTTCTTGACATGCTTTACGATCGGTTACGATGCCTAGAGTACGGAGACCTGTACGATTTCGTCAACATAGTGAGTTTGATAGGGGCCGTATAGTGGGACTTCGGGAAGCTGGACTTTCTTTTCGGGCAATTGCAGTTAGAGTGCAAAGAAGTGTAGACACTGTGGTTAGGTGTTGTCAGGCATGGCATCGAGAAGGCCGTACGCAAAGAGCAAGGGGCACTGGACGCCGCCGTAGAAAAACAGGCCGTGAAGATCGCCGCCTAAGATTATTGGCCTTAAGGGACCGTTTCTCCACTACCAGGTCCATTGCAAATGAATGGTTTGCAGAACACGGAAGACCTATTGGCATGCAAAGTGTTTACCGACGAATGAGAAGTTTTGGCTTGTTTTCATACCGGCCACACTGGGTCCTCCCTTTAACTCGAGAACACCGACGTAATCGCCTTGAGTGGTGCAGACAACGGTCACTCTGGGATCAGGAATGGAACAGTATTGTCTTTAGTGACGAGTCTCGATTTTATTTAGGCATGCACGATGGTCGTGCCAGGGTTAGAAGGCGACGTGGTGAAAGGAGGAATCCACAGTTTTTTGTTGAAAGACATGTTCATCACACTGTTGGAGTTATGGTTTGGGGTGCTATAGCTTATGGTTCCGAGTCACCTTTAATCTTCATCAGAGGTAACATGAACGCGCAGCGTTATATCCACGAAGTTCTAGAACCCCATCTTTTACCCTATCTTGACACCCTGGCAGATCCAACTTTCCAACAAGATAATGCCCGACCACATGTTGCAAGAGTCACAATAGACTTCTTTCAACATAATGATGTCACATTGTTACCATGGCCACCAAGATCTCCCGACTTATCCCCAATTGAGCACGTCTGGGATATGATGGGTAGGAGATTGCTCAATTTGCAACGTCCTCCTCAGACTCTATAAGCACTTCGAGAGGAGTTGGTGGTTGCCTGGAATGAGATACCACAGGAGGACATTGACCACCTGATCAGAAGCATGCCTAGGCGCGTTGGAGAATGCGTAGTACATCAGGGTGCATCCACACATTATTAAAGGTCAAAGGGCTTTAAAGCAGTGCAATCATTTTGAAATTTTTATCATTTACTTATTATGCTTCATTAAGTACTTATACAAAATTTTATAGATAGATATATAGATAGATGCAGGTCGTTTCAGGTTAGGCGTTACGGCATGTCAATGGAGTTCTTGCCATATTTCAGCACATCGCCGTGGATAGCATGTGTGTGTATATACAAGCGTCTAGACTAGACATTTTAACTAACAGTCTGAAAACAATATAATTGCCTCAATTTTATGTAGGGTGTAGAGAATTCCTTGAACTGTACTAACATAGCAATTATTAGGTAATTATCATCAACTAAGATACGATATATTGGTATCGTACATGACTAGTATTTTTGACACTTAATTCTTCTTTTGAGTTCACATCCTAGAAATGTGAATGTCTATTATTCTTCTAAACTTATAATAAATAATTATATGACTATGAAAACATAAACAACATGATATATAGTATAACGTGGCAAAAAGGTTCTCTGTTTATTTGTTTCTTCTTTACTTGTACTACAACAGATTAAAATATTAGTCAAATGCGTTCTAAGTCTGTTAACATATAAATCGATATACCCACTTTATGAGAAATTGTCCTAACCTACATTATATGTCACCGAATTGCACTATTCTGCGTGATCTTTGATATATGCAATTTGTCTACAGTCCTTCAAAATGAGGTAGAAATTTTCATAACCCATGTTTTTATTTGATTTTAGTACTCGATCATTTTGCTGACGATCTTCATCCTGCAAGTGGCCATCGGAGTTTACCTCTTCCTCCAAATTAAAGATACACATCAGTTCAAATCAGCCATCAGAGAGAATGTTCAGAACACCTTCGATAAGAGATTCAGGAATCCTGAGGCAAACGAAACCATGATGGTCACACAAAAATTCGTAAGTGTTATGTTTTTACCGATATTTTAGATCTAATTATCAGTACTTTTGGTTTTAAAGTTATATCAGGTATGACGTTCCTCTAGCTAACTAGCTGTTCTAGCAAACGTCCTTGGGGATGCTATCAATGTAATAATAAAAATAGAGGCTGTTTCATGAATACGCTTTTCGGCCGTAGATTGACCTTTACTGAACATAATGCGGGAATTGTGCTTATTTATTTGTTGACATTGAAAAACTCGTTTTGAGAGTTAACTTCCGGTTCCCAGTAACACAGTTAACCTGCGGTTGAAAAACCTGGTCTCAGAGTAAGTCACTTTAGTTGCTGGAGAGCAGGTCTGACAATAACCGCAATATCTGTAGCTGAGTAGTAAACACTTGAAATTCATTCTTGAGATTATAATTTCAAAACTATAAACAAGTGTGACTTATTTCCAAACTCACAGCCCGATAACAGAGCGTAATAATATTTATTTCTATTGAGGCTTTATAATAGTGTTTTGTTCACTGCTGGGTACAAATATTTTCTGAAGAAGGTTTCGTGTTCTATTTGGGACATATCTCCTATAATCTTTTAAGGCAATTCTTGAAAGATAGTTAACAATTCTGATCAAGCAATCTGTAGTAAATAAGTTACAAATTGTTTGATTCCCATTTGAAATAGTCGTACATGCTCTTAGTCACAAACGATGACAATTTATCCTTTCATAAATACACAACAGCTGCCACTCGTAATACATGAAGCATCCCAAGTCAATTATGTTACTTGTATCTAAAAAAATATCGATATTAATACCATCGCTCATTCTATAATTCACTGTCATTTGTGAGAATCGGAAATCCTGGTAATAGAAACATACCAGAGCTGGAACTTTGTACCCTGGATAATTTGTACTCATTATTTTGACGTTGCTAACCATTTTAGTTTCATAGTAAATCTGGCGCTGTGAGCGTTATTATTTCGTTATAGTATTAGCCGAAAAATTAGGTAAAAGTTATACAGGGTGCTCCGTACTTAAATGCACACAGTGAAATTGCAGGCAGTATGGACCGAGACATTTCCAGGCCTGAAAATGAAAATAGTTCAAAACTCAAAACATACAGGGTGATCTATGTAAATGCGCCAAATCTTTATTATTACATATCTTAAGCATTATTGACCGGATTTTGTTGATTTTCCACGACAGAAAAAGTACCTACGAGTAACGTAAGACTAGATGGATGGTTAAAAATGTAATGGCCGCACTGGATTTTTCACTTTTTGGTTTATCAAATTTAATTCATCTTGATAATTGTACAATTACATTTAATAATTGCACTCAACAAAAGTAATTACTTAAATAAACTAAAAACGGTATGTTTTCTTAGGGTGTTTGTTAATGATATGCAAATATTCAAGAGTGTGAATCTACGTGAAAAAATAATGTTAGTTTGCTTCATAAACTATGGCCCAAGAATGTTTCCTTACAAAAACTCAGAAGTGTTGAAGTTTTAGGAAAAAAATGGAAATTAATTATTATTTTCAGAACCGCTTCAGATATATCACTGATATTTAGTACGTAGTGAAAGTTAATAAAGCTACATATTTTTCAATGCAAAAATAATTTTTAGCATTAACAGTGGCGTCCGTACGGGTATTGACTTCGATATTTTTTAAGAAAAAAAAGGTACACCAATGGTTTTTTGTCAAATAAAAATTATTTTTAAATTTCCCGTTCCCATTGTTTTTTCTTGAATTGTTTTCCTTCGATGCGCCATTTTTGAATAAAAAAATAAAAACCGTTCTGTTGTCTTGCAAAATTATTATTAATCGGAAAAATTAAGCACATTAGAGGTAATGAACAACAACAACTGACAACATGAACATAAATATTCACATATCATTAAGGAACACCCTGTATGTTAAGTTATACGAAATATATTTTTCAAATCTATTTTTCGGAGCAAGACTATTTATAAGGATAAATAATTATTCACAATTAATGGAATTATTACATTAAAAACTAAATGGATTAACACCACAATAGGTTATAAAAGGGTAAAAATTATACTTGATACACATACATACATGATCAGACCCGTATTATAAGAAAAAATAATTATGACAGCAATCTGACAGCCATACCTGTCACTTGTGTTCTATCTAGTCGGTAGCCAACGACACTCATACTCGCTGTGAATGCCATCTATGGAGAAAAGGCGCAACTCACAGCTTGCGCTATATAACGTTTATGCAACACACACAGCTACTACAGGTGAATACGAAGTGGATGATAGTCAGTTCCAAAGGGGCAATTATCGCAATCAAATCGCTATCCCCATGATTTGGCAGTGTGGGTCGCTATAGTAAAAATTTATGGAAACCAAACTGTTCGATTATTCCCAAATTTGACATCAGTCTGTGACCTTTTATAGTTGCAATGCTGCGGTGTGGATGGCCCAGACGACTACAACGGCGTAGTACCAACAAGTTGCTGTCAGAACTCCAGGGTGCAATGTCCCAGCGTGAACAACAATGTCTTCCACGAAGGATGTGCGTCCAAACTTTACTACAAGCTGGAGAGCAGTTCGCAAGTTATCGGAGGCGTTGCCATTGGTATTGCAGCAGTTGAGGTAAGAAAAACATCAGCTAGTAGATTACACCTTTGTAAAGCTTTACCACAGTAGCGTTGCATACCGAGATGAATTAAAATGGATGAGATGTTGTGTTGTGTGTTGCTCTTTCTACTTTTTAGTTCCAAATGTCCAATTAAAAAAAATACGTACCTCATAGTCTGTTGTATGCACGAATTGTTCCCTTATGAATAATCTGAACCGGAATTAAGTCCTACGTTAGAGTAACTTTAACGCCCGCTGTGTATAAGTTAACCTACGTTGAACACCATACAAGCGAGAACTGACCTTATTTGTTTATAGCTAAGCGACGGCGCACCTACCGGTGATATTATCTAAGTTTATTTATTTTTTTGATTTTAGGAAGGTGCAGATAAACATTTGTGTATATCTCTTGCATAATAGGCGTTTATGTATCTTGAGAATTCAAGTCGCGGGAGTTATGTTGCTGTCATTTAACACTTTATTAATTGATATAATAATTGCATTGTATTCCTTTTTACTAGCTCATCACTTTTGGTTTATATTAACGATTTTATCTTAATTATGAGTCAGTAATTCAATCTCAGTCACAGCGAACACACACACACCGTAATTCCGGTTCGGTCCATGTACACTATTATTGGAATCAAATCAAGTTTTTTAAAAACGAAGTTTGAAGTTCCGACCACATGATTTGGGGGTAGCCGCTTGCTTCACGCCTTGTATACATAATTAACTATTAAGTCCTATGGCGCTTACGCATAAACGCACTATTTACGTAAATAACCAAAATTATTTTTCATACCTTTTTCAGATTATTGGTGCCATCTTCGGTTTGTGCTTGGCGAGCTCCATAAGGAACCACTACCGAAGACACATGTACGCTTAAGTCTACCTGAACATCCATTTTTTTCGTACAACGTCAGTGTATTATAAATTTTTTTATACGAGTATAGAAATTTGTCTTTTTTGATATTTTCAGATGATTATACGGATATAGCTTTACAGTAGTTATGAATGTTCGCAGATGCTGCCTGTATTTTTATATCACTATATTTTGTTTTTTCTAAAATTTTATATGTAATGTTTGTTATATACAACCTGTCGTAACGACCGAACTTTAACTCCACACGCATTTCAGGTACGTCTGACCAATCTGGCTTTACATTGGATTCTTTTTCTGTCAAACTGAAAACGCCTAAGCCTACTGTAATAAAGAATGATAAAATTGACGATTTTTTGGTGCAATTTAAACGCATAGCGGTCCGTAAACAAAGAATTAATTGTGAAATCAAAATCGATCGATTTGTCATTGGATTAAAACAATCGTTTTTGGTTTTTGGCGTTTTCTACTTTGTGTTTCTTTACTGACATTATTGCTCCATCTGTTACATTTGAAAATCGAGAAGAGTTATTACAAAATGGAAAAAATGACGCAATATGTTCGTACATATGTTTTTATTTTGTTGAATTACTCCCTCTACATACATATGTGCATAAAAATGCTAGTGCGGTTAAAGTGAAATTGTTACATTAATTGAAATTAAGATATAGTAGTTGTTAAGATAAAGATGAATATGCATTATTATATATTAATTTATACGTGACCAATAAATCGAAACAGAAACATAAGCATTTAGTTTATTTAAATCATTCATGCTTTAAATATATCTCAAACTGTTTTATCAAGCCCCAACTCCCTGGGCTTCTCAATAGACTATTATCCTTCGGTCTCGTCGAAGTAAATACTACTTGTAGTACCATCGTATCTCACCAAACCCACGTGTTCAAGGCGCGCACGCATCGAAAGAAAGCGGTACCGCGCTCCCCTACCTTCCCCCTCTCCGGCCGCCTATAATTCCTGCTCGTCAAACGGTTAACATGTCAATCCGGCGCACCGATTTTTAGTGTTTCCGCACTGTCGAGGAATCGCTATTAGAATTACAACAGGACAGAAGGTTGGCCGATAGATGTGCATTGTCGGCGAGGTTCCTTTCGTCGCATAGCAAAATTAGAAAGCATACTGTAATAAAGAATAATAAAATTGACGATTGTCTGGTGCAATTTAATGTTTTTTCGTCAATATCACAGCGATATCCGTAAACAAAGAAATAATTTTAAAACCAAAATCGATCGATTTATCATTCGATTAAAACAATCAATAATGTTTTTGGTTTATGGTGTTTTCTACTTTGCGTTTCTTTATTGTCATGACCGTTCCAACTGTTACGTTTAAAAATCGAGGAGAGTTATTACGAAATAGAAAAACTACGCGTAGAAAATATTATACAGGGTGACCCATAAATCCTTTGAGCAAGAAAAAAAGGAATAAAACCAAACTAGTTACATTATGAAGAATTATTATATTTTGTTATCATCTTTATTGAATGGGAATTATGTTTTAAAAATCACATCGTCTAAATGCAATCCATTACGATCACGGCACTCATATAAACGACGTCTAAAATTGTCGATGACTGCGCGGCAAGTCAACACTGTAATGCTTGCCATTTCTCTTCGGATATTTTATTTCAGGACATCAACTGATCGCGGAGTGGTGTCGTACACTTTGCTCTTGAGGTAGCCCCATAAAAGGAAGTCCATTGGGGCCAAGTCTGGACTACGTGGTGGCCAGGAAATGTCTCCTCTTCGAGAAATTACTTTGCTGGGAAAAAGTTGACAGACGACGGGCATAGAAGTGTTGGAGGTGTGGGCAGTTGCTCCGTCCTGTTGAAACCAGGTCTGCGTATTATAGCCTGGAAAATTCTGCAACGCTGTTGTCAAAAACTCCTCTATCATTGCTACACACCGCTCCGAAGTAACAGTTAATGCGCGACCTCTGTCGTCCTCAAAAAAATAAGGGCCTACGATGCCATGCGCTGACATAGCAGCCCAAACTGTAACTTTAGGGCTGTGTAAGGGCTTCTGATGCTTACGCCTTGGATTTTCGGGGCTCCAATAACGGCAATTTTGTTTATTTACATGCCCGTTTAAATGGAAGTGAGCCTCGTCTGAGAACAACACATTATTGAGCGAAGAAAATCGATTCAACATTTCATTCGCAAAGTTTAGTCTCTGAATAGCGTCATTATCTTTTAATTCCTGCACTAACTGAATTTTGTAAGCGTGCAGACGTAAATCTTTCCTCAAAATCCGCTGTAAAGATGTTCTGGGTACGTTTAGTGCACTGGAACGCTTACGAGTAGACTGGGTAGGATTTTGACGAACAGACTGTGCCACAATGTTGATGTTTTCTTCAATACGAGTTGTCCTTGGTCGACTCCACCGCTGTTTATCTAACGTCGAACCAGTCTCTTCGAACTTAGCAACCCAGTTCTTAATCGTTTGAGCTGTTGGACACTTTGTAAAATTGTGTAAATTGTGGTATTCTCGATATTTACGCCGCGCAATGGTTGCCGAAACATTATTTTGATAAAACGCGCGCACACAAAAAGCACGATCCGCTCCAGTGAAACACTCCATGGCGACTGAATTCCCAGACACTGAAGATACTGCCCCCGCGCCGCTCACGCTCACCCGTTAAATTTTATTCAAATTTGAAATTTCAAAGGACTTATGGACCAGCCTGTATGACACAATATGTTCGTACATACGTTTTTATTTTGTTAAATTACTTCCTCCACATACTATGTGCATAAATACGCTAGTGCAGTTAAAGTGAAATTGTCCCAGTAATTGAAATTAAGATATAGTAGTTGTTAAGATAAAACCGAATATGCATTATTATATATCTGTACCTCAGAGCCAGACTAGGTCAGGTCCATTTTTGTCAAAAATGAGTTTAATATGTTAAGCTTATGATAATATTGTGAATTTTCATTTGCTGCATTCAGAGTCCATCTATCTGTAATAATAAGGAAGTTACGATTATTTAACTCATATCAAGTCATATTCAATACAATGCAAGAAAAATATTTCAAATACAATTAATTATCTCAAAACTACTTATTTGGGCTTAACCTAGTCTGGTTCTGAGGTACAGATATTAATTTATATGTGACCAATAAATCGAAACAGAAACCTAAGCATTAAGGCCCAATTTCACCATCATCGATATTGGACCAATGGAAAAGGAGCTTCGAAATGCAATTTGACAGAAACTGTCAAAGGTCTCTGAATATCAGTGATTTCTATTGAAATGTTGAATAGTCGTGAAAAAACGGTTGCTTTATAAATAAGGGTACATTATAGATGTAATATTATGTCTTTGTGCTTTAGAATTAGGATAACTTTCATAGAATTTCCAGTTTCACAAAAGACGGTCAGTTATGTAAATGGACCAGTCAAAATGACAGAAATAATAGGTCGATTTACTAGCTATTATATTTGGTAGGATGTTTTCACTGTTTTTCACGACTCTTCATGCACGGCAATCTAGTTTTGTCTGTATATCACGTACAGGGTGTTGTACAAAATACGTACCTGTAGAAATGTACCGATTTTTGTTATTTGCAAAAAAAGGATACAAAACGTATTCCAACTGGTTCATCATCTTTTGATACATCAAAAACAATTTTTGCCAATTTATGATCTAGAAATCCACACCAAATGTAAACAAACAGCACATTCTGCATTTCTGGGTCGTAAAACATCGATATTTGTAAAAGTATCCGCATCCTATTACTCATCGTCTAGATATTATAAGTCAATCAAAAATACCTGTTTATGAAAACATATCCCCAAACATTGTTTTATTTTCTTATTTATATTATTATAACACGTCTTGGATATCAATTGCTTTTAAAGTGATCTGCAGTGTTGCCGAACCGGAAAAAAAACGGAATCGGTAAATAGTGTCGTTGAATTCGGTATAAGGTAAATGCCGTCCCAGATCAGTGTTAGATCAAGGACCTTTGAGTCTATATCACAACTTCTACAATGTGCTCACTGGTCGCTCTTTCAAAGTAGTTAGCAACCATTCTGGAAACTCCTTTTTCGATTCTTGCTTATAGGATTGTGAATATTTTTCTGTTTTACCCCTGAACTCATGAACTCACCTCTCATTTTAGTTAAATATTTAATTTGAAAACAGACAGGTTTCGGTTTCTTTATTGCTGGTCCGGTGATGAGGTAATGACAGTAATCTACCAGTCTGTACCTTTTGTATGCACAAAAATCAATCCAGAGCAAGCGAAGTAAGGGATGATGATGTGCGTTCGTAAATTCTATGCATATCCGTTCATATTCGTCAATATTTCATTTGTAGCTTTTATTTTTCATAAAATTTTAGCAAAATGTAAGACAGTAAAGGCAACACCGCACCTTGCATCCCAGTTGACAAGAAGGACAAGCTGTCATTAGGGATGTTTAGATCCACGAAAAGTATCGTTATGTATCGATTCTTATCGTTTTAGGAGGTATCGATACTCTAAAACATTGGAATAAGATTATCGATATCCACCGGAAGGCAACAAAGGAGAAAAGTAATCGGAAGTTAGTCACTCTTTCTGACACTGTCCGGATCGAAAGGTGACGATACTCGTGAAATGTATTGATACTTCTAAATACAGGATCGTATCGAACATCCCTACTGTCAAGATGTATCACCCGAAGTACCGACGCAGCTATTTTGGGGCGTCATAGAGATAATTTTCAATTTTAATTTGCATTTTTTCAACGATTTTAGAAACGGGATACTAATGCACAATCTGGCAACCATGTCACACCATCAAAAAATGGCTGCTGACAACCACACAAGTCATTGAATTAAACCTTCTCCAGTGTATATGTTTGTGACTGGGACCAAGGGTTGACTGATCCCACACATGTGTGACTCGTTGTGGAGTTTTGAAATGTAATAATCAGCTGTTGTTCAAATCATGTCTAATAATATACTTAACCTAGAATGTGTACTCGTGAAAAAAGAAAAAGATTGCAAATTTCCAGTTTCTTTGCAGGTTTTAGGTTTGCTGGTAGCTTTACGACATATATTTGGGTATTTCTTAATCGCTGTAAATATGTTTGTTTTTGAAAGTTCCAATGCATTATTTGTACCACCATGATAAAATATTTTTATAACATAATAATTAAGTTGCTTTGGATAATATCTGAGTAGCGTAGCTATGGTTTCTAATGTTTGTCATAATATTGCTTTAAACTTCATGAATAATTTTAAGTTGACGATAAGTGGTTTAACATCATGGTGCTACGTTTGATGAATATTTTGATATGCTTTAATGTACGGATTGGCAAGATGTAATGATTTAATAACAAATAGACACTGCTAACAAGTAAACCTTTTTTGAGGTAGAAATACGAGAGAATAAGTTTCTTCGGTCAGTTGTTGTATACAGGGTAGCACAAAAAAGTTATGATAGGTTATTTACCGAAACAGTGCTAGAAGTGTGACCATAAAAAATAACGGATTCTTGTTTCTCGTACTGGAAAACATCCCTATATGGAGTTTTGTGCTAAAATCTGAAATATTTCTCAAGCAATAAGGAAAAATAGAAAATAAAATTGTAACTTTGACACCCTGTATCTCGCAAACTATTAACTTTTGGACTGAGGTACGTTCATGTCAATTCACATATTTTGGTCTGCAGTATCTCCAGTTTCGAGATTTCCCAACCTTTCGCAGACACCCTATACGTGACCAATCACTTGAAACAGAAACATTCAAATAAATTATTCATCATGCTTTAAATATCGCTTAAACTGTTTTTTTGTTGTTGTTAAACCCCAACTTTCTGAGCTTCAAAATAGACTATTCTAGTCGATATTTGACCATATTTTTTGCATACGGTCCTGCCTCAGACAATTCGAAAGAAAATCCATACTAGTGTTATGTTGCCTTTATAGAGCCATCTATACAGCTTGACAAGAACCAAGCTTTAAGGAAAATCAATAAGCAGCTATTGCTGGGTAGATATCCGCTTACGTGACCAGCATAGTATCATAAAATAATGTGTTTCACACTAGATGTCACACGACATGCTGTCTTTTCATCTGACCAGTATTTTCTGATCTATGATCTATATGACAATTTAGATGTATGACATTATTATACTACGGGGAACCTGCTGTTGTCGCATTTTAAGCCTGCTAGATGGAACCGCCAGGATTATTTTCTTGGTCGAACTTCTGTGTCTGATATTTCTGTCTCTATAAAGTCGACTGCAATAGGCTGTGATGGTATTGGTGTGGACATGTTTGCTCTATGTTTAGCTGAAGTACTTCAGTATCTAACTCATACTGTTAATATATGTTTGGAAACTGGGAGCTTCCCTAATGTCTGGAAAGAAGCAACAATTCTTCCTCTAGCCAAAGAAAAAAATCCCATAACTCTTGATCATTTACGAGCCGTCAGCATACTGTGTTTCTTTTCAAAGATATTAGAAAAAGCTGTTTATCTCCAACTAATTGAATATTCAGAGATGAACAATTTACTTCCTGTCCATCA